GGTCACCACGGTGAATTTGCATCGAGGAAGAAGCTTGACGGTCATGAATTGAGGTTCGATGTTGCTGTGAATCAAAAGAAAGAGGCGTGGCGGAGTTGTTGCAGAGGAGGAAGCTTGGTGGGGATGTTTTCATGGCTGATGATGAAGATATAGACGTTGGGGTGACGACCGTGATGTTATTACGGTAGATTTCGAGAAGGAGATGAAATCGAATTTCGACACCACTTCTGTCACAATCCAAAACACCGCCGCTTCTGTTGCTTTTGTTTTTTTTTATCGTTGGCTTCATCACAAAAATAATCATTTTTCATATAAAATAATGGTTAAATAGATAGAATAGATAATGGGTCCTACTAGTTATGTTTAGTTAGGAAAGAAGGGAAGAAGTTAAGGAAAAGTGTCTAAATAGTATAAAGTGACCTATTATGATATAAAAACTCATAAAGTGTCTATTTCTGAAAATAACTCTAGATTAACACACGCATCTTAAGCACACAAGGAAACACAAAAAACTGAACACAATAATTTTATAACACGATTATGACATAACCGCGTCCGATCCATCTGAAACACCCCACTAAAAATTAATAAACTGGTGAGCAAGTGGTTACTAAACTAAGTTATCTTATATATATATACGACGATCAAGGAGAAAAAAATCAAAGATCCTGAAAAATAAAGCATATTGCTTGGCTGTAAGTGATAAAGATACCATTACAAAGTTTGTATACAAAAAATAATGATGAGTAAGTTTCAACTTACAAGCTTAGTTCACAGAAAAGGAAAAGAAAAATCATAATCTAGACGCTTCTTCATATGGCTTCATCTCCCACCAATAATATAGCCTTCTCGAGACACATTGGTGTGTGCATGCAGCAGAAAGGACATTCTCTACATAATTCAAAAATATTTCGCGTCGCAAACTGGGCTTGAACCACTTGTCTCAGATCCAATGATTCAAACGTCCATTTTATATTTTTGCTAAATTTTGAATATCGTTAATTCAATGGTTTTTTGCCTACAGGGATTAACGCTACAATTCTCTCTTTAATACCAAAAACTAAGAATGTTCAGACTATGAAGGAGTTCAGGCCTATTGCTTGTTGTAATCTCTTATACAAGGTCATTTCCAAGGTCTTGGCCACCAGATTGCAGGTTATAATGCCATAAGCTATTGAACCGAACAAAGTGCCTTTGTGAAAGGAAGGTTACTTTTGGAGAATATCATGCTTGCTTCTGAGTTGGTAAATGGATATCACAAGCCTTCTATGACTCCTCGTTGTGCCATTGAATTCGACATATCTAAAGCCTTTGATACAGTTAAGTGGTCATTTATTACTAAAGTGTTGGAAGCCATGAATCTCCCAAACCAGTTCATAAAATGGATCAGTGTATGTATCTCCACGGCTTCTTTCTCAGTGGCAGTGAATGGGAATCTTGAGGGCTTCTTCACAAGCGCAAAAGGAATCAGACAAGGTTGTTCTCTCTCTCCTTATCTCTACGTTATCATGAACAATGTTCTCTCCAAAATGCTGAATGAAGCAGCAGCGAGTGGTATCTCCGAGTATCATCCGCAGTGTAGAGAAGTAAACTTGACTCACTTAAGCTTCGCTGATAATATCCTCGTTTTTACGAACGGTTCAGTTCAATCTCTTGATGGAGTATTGCAGGTTGTTCTCTCTCTCCTTATCTCTACGTTATCATGAACAATGTTCTCTCCAAAATGCTGAATGAAGCAGCAGCGAGTGGTATCTCCGAGTATCATCCGCAGTGTAGAGAAGTAAACTTGACTCACTTAAGCTTCGCTGATAATATCCTCGTTTTTACGAACGGTTCAGTTCAATCTCTTGATGGAGTATTGCAGGTGATGAGTCGCTTTGCAAGTTTTTCTGGCCTTCATATTAATGCTACCAAGTCTTCCATATTCCTCTCAGGTGGTTGTGGAGATGAGATTGGGACTGCAGCAGCTGAGAGAGGTATAGGAGTAGGTGTTTTACCTATTCGATATCTTGGACTCCCGCTGACCACCAAAGCTTTGACAAGTCAGAATTATGAACCTTTGATTGATAAGATAAGAACTCGGCTAATGTCTTGGGAAAACAAGAGCCTCTCCTATGCTGACAGATTACAACTCCTTAAATCTGTCATTTACAGTATTGTCAATTTTTGGAGCTCTGCTTTCATCCTCCCCTTAGACTGTCTTGATAAAGTTGAAGGTCTTTGTAGTGCTTTTCTCTGGTCTGGGACGGTTACTCAAACTCATAGTGCAAAAGTCTCATGGGTGGATTTGTGTTATCCTAAAGAAGAAGGTGGCTTGGGGTTACGTAGTCTCCGTGATTCCACTCGGGTCTTTGCACTAAGGTTAATTTGGCGTCTGTTTGCTAGCAACTCGCTTTGGAAATCTTGGATACAAGCCTATCTTTTGCATAATAGTTCTTTTAGGGATGTGAAGGAACATGCTCAGGGATCTTGGATTTGGAAGAAATTGTTAAGACTTCGGGAGGTTGCTTGTCGGTTTATTCGTCACGAGGTTCGAAATGGTGAATCAGTTTTCTTTTGGTTTGACAACTGGTTGAAGATAGGAAGACTTATTGATATTACAGGGGCACAAGGTACACGGTATCTTGGCATTTTGCGACAAGCAAAGGTCTGTGATGCTACTGATCAAGCACGTTGGAGTGTTGGAGGAGGGCGAACTCGAGTATTTCAAGACCTTATTATGTAGCTTAGGGATCATCTTGTTCCTCGGAGTGATTCTGGTCCTGACATAGTTCTGTGGAAGCATGCGACTGATGATTATCAGGGATGTTTCTCAGCTAGTAGGACCTGGGAGCAGATCAGGGTACGACGAGATAAGGTTATCTGGAGTAAGGTGGTGTGGTTTTCCCAGGCTGTCCCGAGGTACTCATTCATCACATGGCTGGCGGTCAAGAATCGCTTATCTACTGGAGATCGTATGAGGACTTGGGGTATGCAACAAGATTGTATGCTCTGCGGGGAGAAGGACGAAACAAGAGATCATCTCTTTTTTGCTTGTCCCTACAGTTATATGGTGTGGGTTACAGTGACTGGAAGGCTGATAGGAAATCGAATTACTCCGGACTGGCATGACACATTGGATAGTTTGCAGTGTGATCGAGGCTCCAGTCTTGATAAGGTGTTGGAGAAAATGGTATTCCAGGAAACAGTCTACCATATTTGGCGAGAACGGAATGCGCGGAGGCATGGCAAAACTTGGATACCAATGGAAAAACTAGCTCAATTGATTGATAAATCCACGAGGAATAGAATCTCTTCTCTCGGGTACCGGTATGGGAGTAAACTGGAGGGTCTTTTGAGACGATGGTTTGAGCTTACAACATAAGTTTGTGTTGGTTTTCAACATCATAGTAGTTTTTATTCAGCACGATTTAGCTATTTTAATTAGTTTTTGTAAATGCCAATTCTTTTGATTATTATCAATAACTTTGAAATTTCATCAACAAAAATAATGAAAATTTAATGAGAATCGAAATTGAAATCTTAGAGGTGATCTGATCCTATAGACCGCAAAAAAGTAAAAAAACCTATAGCACCAAGGAAAGATCTAAGAATATTGCAACAACAAACTTAGAACTAAAGTTTAGCAAGAAACATCAACTATACCTTTTGCTGATCGAAACCTGCTGAGAGGGCTAACCCGAAGATCTCTCAAGCTGCAACGACGGAGAGCCTGGCCTACACTCCGGTGCTAGCTGAGAATGGATTGCGTTGAAACAAAACCCAAAGCCACTCAGAAAGTAGTTCTCTGATTGTGCCTCAATGTCTTCATTTGAAATAGAGCACATGAGAGCCATCATCTCATGAGAAGAGAAGCACGAGCCTCTACTTCTGATTAAGTCTGATGATGCATAGATCCAGAATCACAGGGACAACGCTAAACAACTGTGTCATCGGCCTCTTTGAAACAAACGGCTGAGATGACTGAAGCTAGGGTTTGACGGCCGGGTGGGGAGAGACACTTGATTTTGTAGACCATGAATGAAAAATACATTTTATGATAATGACAAGATAACATACATGAGGACATAAGCATGAACTGCACAACAAGATGAGCATTTTTTTTCTAACACAAGATTAGCATTTATGACTGGTATAATGTTGATTCTCGAACTACTGCTCTAGACTCTAGTTGATGATGTCCAGAGTTCTTAAAACTAGAAATGATGGGCTATGTTATTTACCTATAAAGCTCAAACAAGGCATGTTAATAAAGCCTCAATAAAAAGTAGTGAATGATAAGTTATCTAATAAATCATCTACTTTATGTGGAAACTTCTTTGTGTAATGGTTTGATTAAGTATTCAGTAATACTTTTATATCATGAGATCTAACTTTAAATTTGCAAAGAAAACAAAATTATGTGATTTAATGAAAAATTGATTTACAGTATGTCGTAAAAAGTACGGTAACACTCATACCATAATCATATAAACACACAGCATGAGGTTTTACTACACCACGTAACTTTGTGTGTGTAAAGCCCACAAAAATATCAGGCGTAATAATGATTATAAACCACTTAATTTTTAAAAGGCTTAAGGCTCATATCTCTCTCTCTCTCTCTCTCTCTCTCTCTCTCTCTCTCTCTCTCTCTCTCTCTCTCTCTCTCTCTCCTCTCTCTCTCTCTCTCTCTCTCTCTCTCTCTCTCTCTCTCTCTCTCTCTCTCTCTCTCCTCTCTCTCTCTCTCTCTCCATTTACTGGGTCACCTATGATTTGGGGAATACGACAAATCTACTTTTTGTCGGTTTTCTGTGACTTCGTGTCTGATTCATTACATCTTCTTCCGGCGACTCAACTCTTCTTCCACGGCATTACTTTGGTTTCCTTCTCTGACGCAGGCGAGCAAGAAAGGTGATTGCTTTCGATCTAAGATGATGATTTGATGCAGCATCAGCACCAGCTGGTTTCTCAATTCAGGGTGGTTCTTGTTTGAAAAAAAAAGCAATTAGGGTTCTTGAATGGACTTGAAAATGGATAATGTAATCGGTGGCAAGTTTAAGCTTGCTCGTAAGATCGGCGGTGGCTCTTTTAGAGAGCTTTTTCTAGGTAAAGGAGATTGCCTTTTATCTGATTTTGATTGCAATTCAATCTCTGTGGATCACCTTTGAATCAAATCTGATTGTTGAGAACATAATATCAGGTGTAAGTTTGCAAACATGAGAAGAAGTTGCTGTAAAACTGGTATCTTTATTCAAATCTGCCTCACCTCTTTATTGATAACATCTCTTTCTAAGTTTTATACTTAAACGTTGTGTGAAATTTTGAAGGAGCCTGCGAAAACTAAGAATCCACAACTTCATTATGAGTCCAAGATATACATGCTTCTACAAGGGGGAAGTAAGTTTACCATTAAGTATTAGTTTACTGGTTATATTGTGTAGAAAGATGATTGATTCAACATTGGTTAGCTGTGGATTGTAGCTGATATGAGATAACTTTGTTGTTTTGTGTGGTTGAAGCTGGCATCCCTAGCCTCAAGTGGCTTGGGGTTCAGGGAGACTACAATGTGATGGTGATTGATCTGCTTGGACCGAGTTTGGAGGATTTGTTCAACTATTGTAATAGAAAACTCACTTTGAAGGCAGTTTTGATGCTTGCGGATTAACTGGTGAGTATTTGACTTTAACTTTGTGGGGATTGGAGTTTTGAGATTTCAACTAAAAGTGTTTGTTCACCATTGTAGATTAGCAGAGTTGAGTATATGCATTCAAGGGGGTTTCTTCACCGTGACATCAAACCAGATAATTTCTTGATGGGACTTGGTCGCAAAGCAAACCAGGTGCTTTTGTCTGTACACTGTTGGGCCCGAATTTAGCCCGTTAGCTGAATTAATGGGCCAAATAGTAAGAGCCGTTTGCGAAGCCTTACGAGCCCATTAGGAAGCCTCCCCTCAAATGAGGACCACATGAAACCGTAACCTATCGGTGAAAACAGGTCACGAACAAAAGACTCGGGACCTCATTTTCAAAACAGTTAGCAAGAAACAGCTCCG